AAGTCTTGATGAAAACCTGAGACCTCTAGTGTATTACCTGAACCAGGCAGCCCTTTGATGGCATCAGTGGAATACTGTGGTAAGGTGACATGTGTTTGGGAATGTAGAAACAATTTCACTGGGAGGAAACATGTTAAATCATCTGAACTACTGAGTATACTTTGTCCTTTTAAAGAAGTTAATTGTATTCTTTTGAGTATTTCCAAGAATGGTCCTTTTGATCTGTTTGATTATATTTAATAACAAAGGATGTCCATTAAAAATCAACAAAATTTGATAGAAAAGTTTAATTAAACTGACGTAGGTATACACTACCTAGGTATACAGTACCAGTTTTGTGTGGAACATCTAGCTAGAAGAAATACCCTGGCTTTCTTAGTTGATATTTATAAAAGTACACTGGACCAATGAAATTCTTTTAAAACATGAGCCTACATGTCGGACTAGACTAGATTTGCTAGTCTTGTGAATCTTGATGAGTAATCTTGCCTAGGTTTTGGATATTGGCTTGCCAGCTCACCTTTTCAGTAAGAATGGGGAGTGTTTAGGGCTGTCAACAGGTGATTCATTTTGCCCACATTACACACAGCAGCTGACTCTGACCTCACATCGGGCTTGGCGGAAGGTTCCATTATCATCTGCCCAACAATTAAGCCAAGAAAGCTGTAGAAAGCCGTGGCCGACACCATGCAGCCAGGAAGTAGAAGAGCTGTGCAGACCCAGCAGTCTGATCCCAGATCCTCTGCTCTTCCCCACCCTTTATCAGCCTGTCACTATGTAGGGCGTCCTTTCTCATCAAGTACTGTATCAGTATGGTTCTTAGGAAAATTGTTTTCTTTGTTTCTCATAGTGGCTCTCTTTCAGGCTTACAAGTGGGGAAAATAAGGCTCTGAGACTTTGAGAACTGGTCTAAGGCACCTGAACTGGTGCCTAAAAGAATCATCATTTGGGAGCGGGCCTGGTGTACAGGCTTTGGCACTTGGGGGGCCCAAGGGAGGAACGTGGCTACAAGCTTGAGGCCAGCCTGACTTGCGTAGCAAGACTGTCTCAGAAGAACAATCAATCAAAGAATCATCATTTGAATGAACTTCTTTTTGAACCTTCAGCTGGTGTCTTTCCTGCCGCGCTAGGCTGCTTCTCATGCTCGCTCTCTTGCATTTTCCATTTCAATAGGAATCACTCCTTTTGCACTCTGGTTCTGTACATTATGTGGGTAAAGAATCCAGAGTGCTCTTTGCTACCGTTTGAATCACTTTTGTCTGCCTGCTATCATTTTTAACCAATTTTGAGTCCCTTACTAGTTGCTTTAGTTTATGTTTGCCTTTTTTAGGTTATTCTATATTTGTCGTTAAGGGTGATCTGCCAGAGTGTGAAGCTGACCAACTTCTCCAGATGATCAGAGTCCAACAGATGCACCGACCAAAGCTCATTGGAGAAGAATTAGCGCAACTGAAAGAGCAGAGGTAACAGTAAAGCCTGAAATATGATAATGTTTCATTACAAGAATTACATTTTTATGCTGGCATTGAGCATGTGGTCCTTTTAGTGTTGGTGACTCTTTAAATCTCATATTTGATTTTGTTTATTTAATTTTATTTTTTGTGATGCTGTGGATAAAATCCAGGGCCTTGAGTATATGCTCTCCCCCTGAGCTGTAACCCTGGTTTCCTTATTTTTCTTTTCTTCTTCTTCGTTTTATTTTTTCTTTTCTTTGTTTTCCTCTTTTTTAGTACTAGGGATCAAATCCAGGGGCACTCTACCACCAGGCTATATCACAGCCCTCAAACTTGCTATCCTCCTGCCTTAGCCTGCCAGGTAGGTGAACTACACACACACTTCTCTGCACTCCTCTAGGTGTCGTGTTTTTTGAACTTTATTGGAATACCTCTCTGTAAACTGGGTGTGGAGGTGCACTCCTGTAATCCCAGCATTTGGGAGGATGTGTCAGAAGGATTACCATGGTATCAAGGGCAGCTTAGGTTACATACTGAGTTTAAGGCTAGCCTGAACTGTTTCTTTGTTTGTTTGTTTTTTGAGACAGGGCCTTACTATGTAGTCCACACCGGCCTCAAACTTGCAGCAGTTCTCTTAGCTCAGCCTACAGAATGTGCTGGGATTACAGGTGCGTGCCACCACTCCTGGTTCATAACATAATGTTTGTATGACCAGCCCTATCTGCCAAAAACATGTTTGTGAATTTACTTACAATCTTTAGTGTACAAACTGAGTGTGGTGGGGCACACCTGTGGCCACTCAGGTGGCTGAGGCAGGAGGATACCTGCTAGTTTGAGGCCAACCTGGACTACATAGAGAGTTCAGCTCCAGCCTGAACTACATCGTGAGACCCTATCTCAAAAAGAACTATGCTGTGTCTAAAACTGAAGACTGGGCTGCAGTTAATCTGAGTGCTTTTATTCTTCATAGAGTCCTTAAAACAGACCTGGAGCAAGTCTTAGAAGGAAATGATGGGACAGGAGCGCTAGATGAAGATGAGGAGGACTTGCAGAGGGCTCTGGCTCTCAGTCGCCAGGAGATTGACATAGAAGATGAAGAAGCAGATCTCCGCAGGGCCATCCAGCTCAGTATGCAAGGTCTGTACATGGGGCCTTCTTTCCTTGTCAGTGAGTTGGTTTGGGTTGTTCTTCATTTGTCTGGAAGAGTATTAAGAGAAACTCTCTTTGGAAGGGATGGCAAGTTAGCTCAGTGGACTAAGTGCCTACTTAGGCAAGGACAGGAACTGAAGTTAAATTTCTGGCACCACATGTCCAGCTGGCCCCACCCCCAGGAGCACTGAGCCAGCCACAGATACAGTGTAGTAGCACAGGCTTGAAATCCCAGCCCTGGGGAGGCTAAAACAGGAGGATCACTACAAGTCAGAGCTGTGTAATGAGACCCTCTACCAGATACATTAAAAAAAAAGAAACTCTGACATAGCAGAAGCAGTAGCTATATATGTACAGTCAGCCTTCAATATAAATCACTGTTATACCCTATATTAGAACTGTATTAACTATACTCAACTGAACTGTTAACTGTTTATCTCTCCTTATTTTATGTGGTTATAATATACTGACACTACAGGTTGAGGTTAATCTCTGTGGGACTTAAATGACCCTTACCTGCACCAGCTGTTTCATGAACGTATGCCATTGGGCATGGCAGAAGGGTCTAGACAGAAAATAAATTGAGTTGGCAAAAATCCAGCACACTTTGACTGTGAAACTGAAGACTTTGTTAAGCATTCCCTGGATGGCCCCACCTTTTTTAAGTGCTGTAAGGCCATCAGCAGAGGCGAGTGACAGTATAGCCCCTGGAGAATGTAGGCAGAGAGAAGTGTTGACATATAGCTCATAGTGGCTACTTAAAAGTGTAAAATGGTTTGTTTTTGTAGTTTTTATTCATACGAATTTGCTTCTTCTAATTTAGTGAGTTTACACCTCATTGTAGGGATCTGTCATCTCTCCTTAGTGCCCCTGAGAAAACGGCCAGAGGAGTCACAAAATGAAGCCAAAGGGATCATAGCTGAGGTCAGGTGGTGGACCAAGCCTGAAGGCAGAGGCCACTCTCAGCAGTAGTAGGGGCAATGTCCAGGCAGGATGTCCTTCTCGGAGCGGAGGTAGCTTGACTGCTTTAGACAGTAAGGCCTCAGCCTGCCCCCCACAGGTGGTCATTTCCAGCTTTAGCAGCTCCCAACATGTATGACTTTATTAAATGTCTATACTTTAAATTCCATTAACATGAAGAAACACCCTGTTGCTCGAACCTTTGAGAATCCCAAATGTGTGCAGTACAGCTCTGTTAGATTTGCCCAGTAATGGATAGAAACCAGATTTTAAGTATTTTTCTTAGGTATTTTTATTTAATTTATTTTTCTTACCATGCTGTTTCACAATTTGTGTAGAACCTCTCTGGTTGGTACAATTATCAGTAAGACTAGGGAAACATTTCAGTTGTCAGAGTACCTAGATATTGAGAATAAAGGAATATAGAAGACTATGTTTGTTTTATCATCATCCACCTTGAGCTGCTTTGGGGACTCCTATGAGGCTGAAAGTACTGGCTTATTTTTAATAAGTTAAAGACACACACAGCTCACGCCTGGTGTGACTTAAATTCTGACAGCTGCTACACCTCAGATGGGTGTCAGCTTTGGTTGTAGCAGACGGGCGTTAGATGTGTGTATCTTACTTAGATTTTCTCTGAGACTCAATATTTACAGAATACTAGCAGAATATTTTAAAGAAGATATTTTGAAAGCTTGCTTGAATAAAACTGTATCATTGCTTGAGTTGATAAGTAAAATAGGTGGGTTTTGCTTTATTTTATTTTCAGGTAGTTCCAGGAATATATCTCAAGACGTCCCACAGACATCAGGCCCAAATCTTACGTTTGAAGAGCTGCGAAGGAGAAGAGAAGCCTACTTTGAAAAGTAAAGTAGTTGATACAAATTAAAGTTGCGTGTTTATTACTTGCCTTGGCTATTTTTTCTATTTATAAATGATTGGTTACTGCCTGAATGCTGAACATTTGAACATGTTTTTAAAGTTTTTTTGGTTTTTTTTTTTATCTCAAGTATGAAATGAATGTACTATAGTTTTAGGGAAAAAGTTTGCCTCAGCAATGAATAAACTTACATGAAATAGGATGAAGGGAACCTTACAAATTTTTTTTTTTTTATCAAAAGGAAAATGGAATTAGGGCAAGGAAAGAACAATGCCTGTTGATCCCATGTAGATACTTCTTGGCTGCCTGACTAACCCTATACCGTTGTTCTGTCAGTTAATAGGAGAAGCTGCATTTTAGTTTGGGGACAGTACCAGTGGAGGTGGCGCCTCACCATCCTGCTCGTCCCACTTTAGGCAGCGTCTGCAGACCTGTCAGCTTTGCTTATGGAACAAACCATAAATCTGTGACCGCGACTCCTGAGGCCTTCTATTGTGCCCAGCTGTGCAAGTGCTCACAGAGGCTTCACCCTGCGGACGGATCTGTAGTTCCTGTAACTCTTACAAGCCTTTCTCTCCTTTCTTTTTAAAAGAAAAGTAAAACTGTCTTAAACATTGTAAGATCTGTAGAAGATATTTAAATCTTTTGATCCTAGGTCAGAAATGAAAGACCAGTGGCTGAATCTGCCCTGTAACTTACTGGTTTTGTTTGTTTTATTATCTAAAGAAAATACAAAATAGTAAAAGAAACAAAAAAACAAAAGCATAATAAATGATACAGAACTTCACCAAACAATTTTTTTTAATATATTTGATACAGGGTCTCACTACACAGCTTGGACTTGGAGTGATCCTCCTGTTTTCAGCCTCCCCAGTACTGGGATTACAGGCATGCGCCACCACAGCCAGTTTCACTGGGTGGCTGGCTCACTGTGCCCCGGGGGTGGGGACCAGAGATCGAACCCTGGTCCCTGCATTTGCCAAAGCAGGCCCTTTAGTCTGCTGAGCTATCTTGCCAGCCAAGAATTCCATAGTTTTTAAAACGTGTACCTGTCTGTTGTCCTTCACTGACTGGTTCCTAATATTTGGTTACTTTGTTTCCTTGTCATAGTGTAGATTATTTAGATGAGTTGTACCTATTTTCTCTTGATAGTAAGTACAGTAGGCTGCTATATGAACCTTTTGTGTTTAAAAGTATTTTTTAGTTTTTTGCATTAAAAATATGAAGTTTTCAGTATATTTTTATTTTATTTTAAATATTAAAAGAAACAAAAACAATTATTTTATAAAATTAAAGATAATTTCATTAGTTATAATTAGAACAAACACATTTAGAAAACAACTAACTAGTGTGTTTTAGTAAACATGTTTCAGCCAACTCTGCACCCTTTTAAAGTGTTTGCATATTGGTATATCTCCTTCCTTCTCAGTAGTTGAATATGGACTGAAGATGTCTTCAGCCTCTGCCTCCTGGTTTGACCTTAAAAATACTAGTGAGAACACAGAACTAGAGAACATTCTACATAGTCACATGTTGCTGAGAAGAGTTAAGAACTTAACTTATTGGTGTTTAACATTGGCTCACATTTAAAGCTTAGAACTCATTTACAGAAGTCCTGAGAAACTTCCCTTTCACTAAAATTTTTCATTAGTAACCCTAGATGTCTCTCTAGTTCCTGTCTTTGGGCCTTTGGCTCTGAGTGTCAAGCTGCCTCTTGCTCTTATGCTACAGAAATGAATCTTGATGTTTATTTTTCATACAGTTTTATAGCATTTTTCCCTGCTCTCATCGGACATTTAAAGCTATATACTTAATATAGTAACTACAGTATTCAAACCTAAAGCACATGGTAGGATTTTCTTTGTAAAAAAAAAAAAATACTGTTGAAAATCTATCTGCTATAAATTCATATTTGAGTAAGAGTTACTATATAATATTTTCATAAGTATGGAATTTTTTTCCAGCAGTAGTCTCTAAATCAGTTTTTTCTGTCATAAAATCTCAAAACTACTACATCACTGTAAAACCTGCCTTAAGTCGTGTGTTCTGAGCATCAGATTAAGCAGTGGGTATAAAACTATTCTGTAAGCAGGGCATAGTAGCATATGCCCATAATCCCAGTGCTCGGGAGGCTAAGGCAGAAAGATCACTTTGTGTTCGGAGCCAGCCTGGGCTACAGAGTAAATTGAAGGCCAGCCTGAACTACACGGTGAAACCATGTCTGAAAAAAAAAGTGAAAAATTACATTGTAAAGTATTCAGATATACTTGTTGGCTGGAATTACTAATGTGTTTTCAGGGGTATGTCGAAATGATGCATGTGCTTCCTGTTTTGAAAAGCAGTGTTCCCAACAAGAAAGGATAAAATACTGTTTTCATGGGCACAGACTGCCGTGACCTTTAGATTGCCTAATACCTGAGCCATCATTTCTATGATGTGTTTAGTTTAGCAGGCCGAGTTCAACTTAAGAAACAGAAACTACTGAATGCAGAAGAGTATTTAATACAGGAATTTAAGAGCTTCATAATCTTAGGAAAAGCAGTAAGTGGTGCTCTAGCCAGCCCTCCGGAGTACCACAGACCGACATGGAGGAGGAGCCAGCAGCTGTTGCAGGGCAGCTGGTGCGTGGCTGGGATGCTAGGGAATTGGTCCAGTGATGGCTAACTTATGGTCTGTGTGTTATTTTTAAGACAAAAGATGATATTGTATGAGTTGTTTTTTCTAAACTTATTCAAGTCCAGTTGTAGTATTGACACTTGTGTTAAATAAGTGGGCTGTGGGTTGCAGTTTGGACACTCGTCTCTGAAAGGTTTGCCATCACTGGCTGCATCAGGCTTAAGAACACACTGGTAGAGCTGTGATCTTGGGCCAGCGGCACAGCTGTCTAGACCTGGGAGTGTACAGCCTGCCCCTTATTACCAAAGCCAAGAAGCAGGATTCACTGCATCTCCATGGATTTGCAGGAAGATGCTTTGCCTCGTTTCTGCCCCTGGACTCTCATGTGAGTGATTTCTTTGTAAGCAGGATCCTGTCTGTAATGGAGCCTGAGACATTCAGACTTTAGCTTTAGGATCTCTGTAATACTTAGTCTGTGTTAGAATAAGATGGTGGGGATGAAGGCTGGGGTACTACAACTGCTTCAAGGGTGGCAGTGACTTACTTTTTACCATGCCTATAGTCCCAGCACTAGGGAGTCTGGGGCAGGGAGATTGCCATGAGGTCAAGGCCAGCCTAAGCTGCATAGTAAATTTAAGGCTACCCTGAACTACATTCCAAGACCCTGTCTACAGCTAAAAGAAAAACCATGTTCTAAATATTTGCTTTGCAATTTATTAATTAAATTAAAAGTAGACTCCATAAATGTGCAGTTATTTTCTACCAAATAATACAGAATAAAAAGGTAAAAAATAGACTCAGTATCATCCCTCTGCAGTGGTGATCTCACCCCCGTCTTATTTTCTGGTCCCCATAGCTCACAGTGCAGCTTCCTTTCTCATGCCATGTTCAAGAGTCACGGTTTGCTGAAGAGCATACTGCACTCCCATGTATGCTCCCGTTGACTGTTTCATTTTTTTATGTCTTTTTAAGACAGTGTCACTGTGCAGTTCAGGCTGGCCTTGAGCTGACTTTTTAGCCCAGGCTGGGCTTGAACTGGAAGTGATCCTCCTGCCTCAGCCTCCCAAGTGCTGGGATTACAGGTGTGCGCCCCCACACCCGGCTCTAACTGTTGACACCTTGTGTCTTGGACCTATGCCATGTCACCACTATGGCTCAGTCTAGCAGGGGAAATGGGCGTTGCTACTGGTGAACTTTTCTGTTGCTTGCTCACTTTTAAACCGTGAGACCCTAGGGAAAAAAGTGCTGTGCTATTAATAGTGGTGTTGGTAGTTGGAAAGTTCGGATTGTTTTTAAATCATTATATACATTTGTTAAGGCTTTGACTTCTCAGATCATCAGCAGTTTATAAGGCTTTTTGGGGGGTTTTGTGTTTATACACTATTTGAAATAATGCACGTCTCAACTTGCATAAAAGCAGTAGCCGTGCACAGAGCTCCATAGTTAAGTCCTTTGGAGCCCTACGCTGACGCTCTCCATTAGTTGGAGGCATTTCTGAATCATTTGGGAATAACAAATTCTTTCTGTGTCTCAGAACTTCAGGGTTGTGTATCTTCATTCTCCTCCTTCCTGCGCCTCTCCAGTCCACTGTGCACCCCACCACCACCACCACACACACACGATTGAACTCTGGGCCTCTCACATGCTTGGGCAATGCCGTAGTGCTAAACTGCCTCCCTGACCCAGAGTTACCTTGAACCTGCCTCACTCTCTTAATTAGCTATAGTTAGAGTTGAGTACTAATACACCCAGTTTTCAGTTACACTTTGGAGATACAAAAGTGTACTTCTGCATGATTATTGTTGAAAGGGTTTCTTGCTGTGTTGCCCAGGCTGGCCTCTAATTCCTAGCCCTAGCCAGTTCTCCTGCAGGTAGCTAGGGCTATAGGCACGTGCCACTGCCCCAGCTTCATTCCTACGTTTTTGCATGACTGTTATGTTTAAATGTTTTCAAATGTACTTTTCTTGACACTTTTTTAAAACTTTTTTTTTTTAATGTATTTGGTACAAGGTCTCACGACACAGCTCAGACTTAGAGTGATCCTCCTGTTTGCAGCCTCCCCAGCACTGGGATAACAGGCATGCGCCAGCAGGCCCAGTCTCAGTGGCCGGCTCAGCATGCCTGGAGGTGGGCCTGGCACGGCATGTGCTACCAGGGATTGAACCCTAGTCCCTGCGCTTGCCTCAGCAGGCGCTTAGTTTACTGTGCTATCTTGCCGGCCCTTTGACACTTTTTTAAAAATAGAGAAGAATTTTTTTTTTTTAACATTTATTTATTTATTGTGTGTGTGTGTGTGTGTGTGGCCAGCTTAGCCCACCAGGGGGCGGGGCTGGCTGGCATGTGGTGCTGGGGGATAGAACCGCGGTCCCTGTGCTTTGCCAAGCTTGTTCTAAGTAGGTGCTTTAGACCACTGAGCCATCTCACCAGCCCCAAATAGAGAAGAATTTAATGTAATAACTTTTGGTGAACACTTGGTAATAATGATGTTTTCGTGCAGTCACCAAGTATCTTGCAAATATCTGTGTGACAAATGTGGGTTTAGGCACTGAAGAAACAGGTAGACGATACAGGGTTTATGCTTCTCTTAGCTCAGACCCTAGATGGGGAGCTATAAACAGAAGGCTATCAGATCATGGGAAGTATGCTGAGAATTTCAATGAAGCGGTGAGGTAGGATGCCAGGTGCAGTGGCCAGGAAAGGCATCTCTGGGGAGATAGGGAAGCTTGGATCTCAGTAACAAGCAGCAGGCCACGGAAATAGCATATCAACTTTCATGGCAATTTGAGATGTTTTATCTTCTCAGAGGTACTTTTCAGTCACTTTTTAAAGCAATAAGGATCTATAAACCAACACTCATTTCCATTAAGAACTGCCAGCGAATCTTACTATGCAGTAAGTTATTTTGTGATGGAAATAACTACTTCTTAATTTATCTGATACATTTACATTCTTACAACTAGGTTTCTGGGAATGAGTAGTTTTTTTTTTTGTTTTTTTTTTTTCGGAACCGGGGATTGAACTCAGGCACCTGCGCTTGCCAGGGAAGCGCTTATTCCACTGAGCCATCTCCCAACCCCAATAGTTCTGTACTATTAATATTTTATAAAGCAGGGCATGGTGGCATATACCTATAATCCTAGCACTTGGGAGGCTGAGGCAGAAGGATTACTGTGAATTCAGTACCAGCTGGACTATAAAGGGAAATCCTGTTTTTTTAATATATTTTTATACTTTTAATTATCAGACTAATTATACTTACCACCTTTTACAGTGTTTGTGCCAATGATTATTTTGGTTTGTGATATGATTTATTTTTTACTAGAATAGATTTTTCCTATGGTTTATTTATTCTTAAGTTGTGTGTTTCTGATGTACATTTTCTTTTGAACGTTTTAGGCGGCAGCAGCAGCAGCAACAGCAGGCAGATCCGCCAGGACAGGCTTCACAGCCACGTGAAAGGCCGACCACAAGCTCGGGGGCCCTTGGCAGTGACCCAGGTACAGCTCCCTGATCATCATGTTTTTTGCGTGGATATCCAGGTTCCATGTGATAGCTTACATTCTTCTTCCCTCTTTAATAGTATTAAAACTTTTTCCCTGGCAAGCGCAAGGGCCTGAGTTCAATCCCTGGTTCCGCCAAAAGGAAAAAAAAAAGTATTAAAACTTTTGAATGAGTTTATAAACTACAAAATTCTCTTGGACAATAAGCAGGCAGATGGGAGCACTGAATGAATAGTTGTAAAACTGTACATACAGTGTTTACAACTTCATAATACATTCTCCAAAAATTCTTACAATAATATTAGTAGATTGAAAATAAGTACATTTATCACCTGGAAAAATAAAACTACTTGAACGTAATCAAAATAACAAGAAGTAAAAAAAATAAATAACAAGAAGTGTGGAGGTGCTCACAAAGCCTGATTTAATAGGTTTTAAACTTTGGCCAAGTATTGGCAGTAGAGTTCTATTGAAAGAGAGGTTGTATCTGAAAATGGACTTGTAAGGAGACTCTATAAAGAACTCTTAGAACTGTATAGTAAATGGATGAAAGATTTGAAGAGAGTTTACCAAACAAGAGGGAGGATAAGTCATACATGGTGGTGCACACTTGTAGTCCAAGCACCTGGGAGACTGAGATAGAAGAATCCTAAGTTCCAGGCCAGCTTAGGGTGTGTAGCAAGTTCAAGGCTGTCCTGGCCTACATAGCGACACCCTGTCTCAAAAAGAGAAAAGAATAGCGATGAGGATAGATCTGTCAGTCAGTGCTCACTTGAGAAACACATTTAATACGTAAGAGGGAGGATAAGATTGCCGTACAGTGGCTACCCACAGTCAGTAAACAAGTCATTGAAGTTTAAAACTTAAGGAATAGGGGCTGGAGAGATGGCTCAGTGGTCTAAAGCACCTACTTAGAACAAGCTTAGCAAAAGCATCAGGGACCGCGGTTCAATCCCCCAGCACCACATGCC